ATGGGATCCTAGTGGAATTTTAATGGAGTAACAATAAAGCTCAATGGGGTTATAATGGAACTCTTATGGGGTCACTATGGCAATGGGACGGAATCTTTATGGAGCTCTAAGGGTTTATAATGGACCTTTTAGGTGGTCACTCTCAAGTTCTATGGGGTCACTTTGGACATCTATGGGTCACTATGCTTCTCTTCTAGTCATAATGGAGCTCTTTTGGGATCTTTATGGAGCTCTATGGGGTCACTATGAAGCTATAACGGGTCACACTGGAGCTCTTATGGGCTCACTTGGAAGTTCTATGCCGCCAGAATGGAACTGTTATGGGGTCTCTAACAAGCTCTATGGGATCATAATGCTACTGTTATGGGGTCAATATGCAGCTTTGTATTGACACTTTGAGCTCTATTGGGTCACGATGGAGCTCTTATGGGGTCACTAGAAAGCTCTATGGGATCACAATGGGACTCTTACGGGGCCACAATGGAGCTCTAAGGGGTCACTAATGGAGTTTCTACAGGGTCAGAATGGAATCACTTCTGGGATCACTATAAAGCTCTATGGGGTCACAATACAGCTTTTATGGGGTCATAATGGAACAGTTCTGAGGTCACTACAGACATCTATGGTGTCATAATGGAGCTATTATGGTGTAACAGTGGAACTTTTATGGGGTCACTATGGAGCTCTATGGCATCATTGGGGTCACAAGGGAGCTCGGATGGGTCAGAATGGAAATGTCATGGGGACACCATGGAGCTCCTATGTGTTTATCATGTTACTGTTATAGGGCCACTCTGGAGCTCCATGGGGTCCCCATGAAGCTGTTCTGACGTCCCTAAGAACCTCTATGGGGTCACAAGGGAACTGATAAGAGGTCACCAAGAAGCTCTATGAGGTTACTAGTAAGTTATAGCGGGGTCCTATTGGACATCTTAAGGGGTCACTAGAAAGCTCTATGCGGGCATCATGGGACACTTATGGGGTCATAATGAAACTGTTACGAGCTCACTCGGGAGCTCTATGGGGGCAAACCTGATCTCTTATGGGGTCAATAAGGAACTCTATGGGATCTCCATGGAACTCTTATGGTGTCTCTATGGAACTCTCTGGGGTCAAAATAGAGCTGTTATGGGGTCACTATGCAGCTCTATGGGGTCACTTTGGAGCTCTATGGCGTCCATACGGAGCTCCTAGGGGGTCATAATGGAGCTTTTATGGGGTCATAATGGAACAGTTCTGGGGTCACTATAGAGATCAATGGCGTCACAACGGACCTATTATGGTTCAACAGTGGAACTTTTATGGGGTCACTATGGAGCTCTATGGCATCATAATACAACTTTCATGGGGTGACAAGGGAGATCTACAGGTTCACAATGGAGCTCAGATGGGTCAGAATGGAAATGTCATGGGGACCCCATGGAGCTGCTATGAGATCATAATGTTACTGTTACAGGTCCACTATGGAGCTCCATGGGGTCCCCATGAAACTGTTCTGATGTCCCTAAGAACCTCTATGGGGTCACAAGGGAACTGATAAGAGGTCACCATGAACCTCTATGTGGTTACTATTAAGTTATAGCGGGGTCCTATTGGACATCTTATGGGGTCACTAGAAAGCTCTATGCGGGCATCATGGGACACTTATGGGGTCATAATGAAACTGTTACGAGCTCACTCTGGAGCTCTATGGGGGGCAAACCTGATCTCTTATGGGGTCAATATGGAACTCTATGGGATCTCTATGGAGCTCTAATGGTGTCTCTATGGAACTCTCTGGGGTCAAAATAGAGCTGTTATGGGGTCACTATGCAGCTCTATGGGGTCACTTTGGAGCTCTATGGCGTCCATATGGAGCTCCTATGGGGTCACAATGGAGCTTTTATGGGGTCATAATGGAACAGTTCTGGGGTCACTATAGAGATCTATGGCGTCATAACAGACCTATTATGGATTAACAGTGGAACTTTAATGGGGTCACTATGGAGCTCTATGGCATCATAATACAACTATTATGGGGTCACAATGGAGCTCTGTGGGTTCACAATGGAGCTTGGATGGGACAGAATGGAAATGTTATGGGCACACCATGGAGCTGCTATGTGGTCATCATGTTACTGTTACAGGGCCACTATGGAGCTCCATGGGGTCTCCATGAAACTGTTTTGAGCTCCCTAAGCACCCCCATGGGGTCACAAGGGAACTGATAAGGTGTCACCATGAAAGTCTATGGGATCCTAATGGAATTTTAATGGAGTAACAATAAAGTTCAATGGGGTTATAATGGAACTCCTATGGGGTCACTATGGCAATGGGACGGAATCTCTATGGAGCTCTAAGGGTTTATAATGGACCTTTTAGGTGGTCACTCTCAAGGTCTATGGGGTCACTATGGACATCTATGGGTCACCAAGAAGCTCAATGGGGCCACTATGGAACTATTTTGAGGTTCCTGAGAAGCTCTATGGGGACACAAGGGAACTGATAAGGTATCATTTGTAGCTCTACGGGGTCAGAGTGGAACTGTTATGGGATCACTATAGATACATCCGGGGTCATAGTGGAAATGTTATAGGGTCACTTTGGAGCTCTATGGGGTCACTAAGGCAATGTTATGCAGTCACTACTAAGCTACAAGGAGTTTTAATGCAACTTTTATGGGGTCACTATGGAGCTCTTATGAGGTCATAATGGAGCTCTGAAGTGGTCAGAATGGAACTGTTACGGGCTCACTCTGGAGTTCCATGGGGTCATAACTGAACTCTCATGGGGTCACTATGCAGCCCTATGGGGTAACTGTGGAGCTCTTATGGGGTCATAATGGAGTTGCTATGGGGTCACTACAGACATCTATGGCATCATAATGGAGCTATTGTAGTGGACAGAGAAACTTTTATGGGGTCACTAGAAAGCTCTATGGCATCATAATACAACTGTTATGGGGTCACAATGGAGCTCT